TACAGGAGCATCGATAACAACAACAACAACGACTACAACAAAAGCATCACTTCCTAATAACAACTAACCAACCAATTCCACACAGTCATCATCTTCCCAACTACTAACAACAACAATTACAACTACCAACAACTCGCGACAAAAACAATACTAAAACATCCATCATCAACATCAGCGGCAAAAACAAAAACAACAACAATCCATCTATCACCTCAACCAACCAACCAACCACCACTACCACCATCGTCAACAACAAAAACAATTCCAAAGAGAGACTCAACCAGGTCATGTTGTGAGTGTGAGCCGGACGACTGATAGCTGAGGGTAGGTCATGGTGGGAAAAATAATATATCCGTGTCGAGTTACAGAGATTTTTCATTCCATTTTTATTCATTATTCTTTTTTGTATTTTTCTATATTTTTATGGTGTTTTTATGATTATATAATTATTTGAGGGTTGTATGTAATTTTGTATTTTTATTTTGTTTATATTCGCTTTTATGTAAGGTGGAAATAGTAAGAGAAATTGTTTACCTGATCTTTTCACCCAAGTTCCATGTTGTTTCCTTAACTATATAATTACACTAGTTTTTTTTTTACCGTTGTTTGTAAATATTTAGTGGCTATAATTCATTTATAAGTTAAGTAGGAAAATAAGAGCGTGAGAAAGAATAAAACTTCTGACTCCATTTCGTTCTGGTCACACTGCGGCGGCAACCTGGGAGAGACCCCACCCCAAGCATTGTGATGACATTAATCTCTGAAGCTTGATAACTGCTGTGGATAAAATAATAAAGATAATCTAATAAAAATAACAATGTGATTATCAGCACTTAATTATAAATGACAAAAACTAATAACATTGTCACGGAAGGGGAGGCATCATCAAACCTCGGAGTGTCTACCAAGGTCAGTGCGTTTGACAGGTCCTGATTATCGGCCTGGGGGAGAGGGTCGTGGTGACGTCACATCCACCTCTGACGTCATCAATGTTTACATATACGTCACGTGGCTCTGGTGCAGTGTCTTGACAACAAAGGGAAATCTTATTATCATCTGTGGTCGAGCGGATTTGAGTGTGATGACAAGGTGTGGTGAATGAGGTTGGTATATCTTTTAAAATTAGTTCCGAGATTTAGTTTATTATCCATTTGTATGTTTATTGAGATTAATCTTATTATCGTCTCTCTTATCTAATTTCTCAATTTACACCTAACTTTCTCTTCCTCCCTTCCTTCCTCCCTCACTTCTACCCACCATTCATTATCTCCTCTCCCTTCCCCTCCCGTCCCCTTTCCTCGAACCCTACACCCCACCCTCTCCCCTTCCCTGCCTTTCTCTCTTTCCTCCCCTCCCCTTTCCTCCCCCTCCCCTTACCTCCCTAATCACTAGATGGACCACTGGCGACCATGATATGTCCCCCAGCAAGACACTGAAGACCCCAGGGTGCCCTAACGCTGATGGCTGCCTATTACCCAACCTCCCTAAGGGCCTTGTCTCCCCCTCCCCCTCCCCACACCTCTCCACCAGCCATCCACCACCCTGGCTCCTCACTCTCCTCCCCCCTCCTTTCCCCCACCACCACCATTCCTCCACTACTAGCCACTACGCCCCTTTCCTTCCAATCTTCCTCCCCCTCTCTCAATCTCTATCCTTTCGATCCTATCCCAGATATTGTTTTAGGGAGAGAGAGAGAGAGAGAGAGAGAGAGTTTCTGCTGCTGTTAATGTTTCCCTTTGGTATTTTTGCTGTGTTAGTGCTGTTATCTCTCTCTCTCTCTCTCTCTCTCTCCCTTGGTCTTGCTGTTATTATTGTGAGTGTTGGTCTGTTGATACAGTCGTGTACCTCAGCTGTTATCATCGCTGCTGGGTGGGGGTGGGGGGGTAGTAGGTGGTAGGTCAGAGGTGAGAAGCAGAGAGGAGGGGAAGGAGGGAGAGGGAGTGTGTGAGAGAGGGGAGGAGTGTGAGAGAGGGGGAGGGAGTGTGAGGGGGGGGAAAAGTGTTCTGAGAGGGATGTAATGCAAGGAAAGGATAAAGATGAAATAAAAGAATGAATAGAAAAGTAAAAGAAGAGAAAGGAATTCGAAGAAGATTAGAAGGAGAAGCAGGAGAGAAAAGATAGGACTGATAAAGGTGGACAGGAGGAGGAGGAGGAGGAGGGAGGGGAGAGAAGAGGAGAAGGCAGGAGAGAGAAAGAGGAGGGGAGGGAAGAAGAAGAAGAGAGAAAAAGGAGCAGGAAGAAATAGAGAATGAGATTAATGAAAAAAAGAGAGAAAGGTAGAGAGGAATAAAGAAAGAAGGAAAGACGAGAAAGAAAGTGGGAAGAAAGGAAGAGGGAAAGACTGAGATATAAAGAAAGAAAGAAAGAGGGGAATTTCGAGAGACTACTGAAACATTTATGGTGTGTTTCCCTCCTGGTAATTGTTCTTCGGTTTGTGACGGTCTTGTGTGACGGGAGTCTTGTTTGTGACGGTCTTGTGACGGGGTCTTGTTTGTGACGGTCTTGTGTGACGGGGTCTTGTTTGTGACGGGGTCTTGTTTGTGACGGGGTCTTGTTTGTGACGGCTGTGTGACGGTCTGTTTGTGACGCTGTGTGACGGGGGTCTTGTTTGTGACGGCTGTGTGACGGGGTCTTGTTTGACGGCTGTGTGACGGGGTCTTGTTTGTGACGGCTTGTTTGTGACGGGGTCTTGTTTGTGACGGGGTCTTGTTTGACGGGGGTCTTGTTTGTGACGGCTGTGTGACGGGGGTCTTGTTTGTGACGGCTGTGACGGGGTCTTGTTTGTGACGGCTGTGTGACGGGGTCTTGTTTGTGACGGCTGTGTGACGGGGGTCTTGTTTGTGACGGCTGTGTGACGGGGGTCTTGTTTGTGACGGCTGTGACGGGGTCTTGTTTGTGACGGCTGTGTGACGGGGGTCTTGTTTTAGACGGCTGTGTGACGGTGGTCTTGTTTGTGACGGTTGTGTGACGGTCTTGTTTGTGACGGCTGTGTGACGGGGTTTTGTTTGTGACGGTGTGTGACGGGGTCTTGTTTGTGACGGTTGTGTGACGGGGGTCTTGTTTGAGACGGCTGTGTGACGGTGGTCTTGTTTGTGACGGCTGTGTGACGGTGGTCTTGTTTGTGACGGCTGTGTGACGGGGGTCTTGTTTAGACGGTTGTGTGACGGGGTCTTGTTTGTGACGGTCTTGTGTGACGGGGTCTTGTTTGTGACGGCTGTGGGGTCTTGTTTGACTTGTGTGACGGGGGTCTTGTTTGTGACGGCTGTGTGACGGGGGTCTTGTTTGTGACGGCTGTGTGGGGTCTTGTTTGTGACGGCTGGTGACGGGGTCTTGTTTGTGACGGCTGTGTGACGGGGGTCTTGTTTGACTTGTGTGACGGGGGTCTTGTTTGTGACGGCTGTGTGACGGGGGTCTTGTTTGTGACGGTTGTGTGACGGGGTCTTGTTTGGACGGCTGTGACGGGGGTCTTGTTTGTGACGGCTGTGTGACGGTGGTCTTGTTTGTGACGGCTGTGTGACGGGGTCTTGTTTGTGACGGCTGTGTGACGGGGTCTTGTTTGTGACGGTCTGTGTGACGGGGGTCTTGTTTGTGACGGCTGTGTGACGGGGTCTTGTTTGTGACGGTTGTGTGACGGGGGTCTTGTTTGTGACGGCTGTGGGGGTCTTGTTTGTGACGGCGGCGTTTGACTGTGTGACGGGGTCTTGTTTGTGACGGCTGTGTGACGGGGGTCTTGTTTAGACGGCTGTGTGACGGGGTCTTGTTTGTGACGGCTGTGTGACGGGGGTCTTGTTTAGACGGCTGTGTGACGGGGTCTTGTTTGTGACGGTCTGTGTGACGGGGGTCTTGTTTTGGACGGCTGTGTGACGGGGGTCTTGTTTTTGACGCTGTGTGACGGGGTCTTGTTTGTGACTGCTGTGTGACGGGGTCTTGTTGACTGCTGTGTGACGGGGTCTTGTTTGGACGGCTGTGTGACGGGGTCTGTTTTGTGACGGTTGTGACGGGGTCTTGTTTTGTGACGGTCTGTGGACGGGGGCCTGTTTGTGACGGCTGTGTGACGGGGGTCTTGTTTGTATTTGTCTTGTGTGACGGGGTCTTGTTTGTGACGGCTGTGTGACGGGGTCTTGTTTGTGACGGTTGTGTGACGGGGTCTTGTTTGTGACGGCTGTGTGACGGGGTCTTGTTTGTGACGGCTGTGTGACGGTGGTCTTGTTTGTGACGGCTGTGTGACGGGGGTCTGTTTGTGACGGCTGTGTGACGGGGTCTTGTTTGTGACGGTCTTGTGTGACGGGGGTCTTGTTTGTGACTTGCTGTGTGACGGGGGTCTTGTTTGTGACGGCTGTGTGACGGTGGTCTTGTTTGTGACGGTCTTGTGACGGGGTCTTGTTTGTGACGGCTGTGTGACGGGGGTCTTGTTTGTGACGGCTGTGTGACGGGGGTCTTGTTTGTGACTGCTGTGTGACGGGGTCTTGTTTGTGACGGTGTGTGACGGGGTCTTGTTTGTGACTTGCTGTGTGACGGGGTCTTGTTTTGTGACGCTGTGTGACGGGGGGTCTTGTTTGTGACGGCTGTGTGACGGGGTCTTGTTTAGACGGCTGTGTGACGGGGGTCTTGTTTGTGACGGCTGTGTGACGGGGGTCTTGTTTTGTGACGGCTGTGTGACGGGGGTCTTGTTTGTGACGGCTGTGTGACGGGGGTCTTGTTTTTGACGGCTGTTTGACGGGGGTCTTGTTTGTGACGGCTGTTTGACGATCTTTGTGTATGTCCTCCCCTTTTACAGCTGGTAGCACCCCCACCCCTACATCAGCTGATTCTCCTGTGTTTTTCTCAACAGTTGGCTGAGTTAGTTAGAGCCTCTCTCTCTTCATTCCTTTATCTCAAAAGTTAGTTCACTATAGAGAATCCCTCCCCTGTCTCTACCTCTATCAACAGCATCACCCAACCACTCTCTCTCTCTCTCCCCAATAAATTCTTCCCTCATCTCTTGTGTCTCTCTCCTGCAGGTGGCCATCAAGATCATCGACAAGTCACAACTAGACGCCACCAACCTGCAGAAGGTCCACAGGGAGGTGAAAGTACTTAAAAGTCTCGACCATCCACACATCATCAAGCTCTACCAGGTGGGTTCTCTCTGGGGGTGTCTAGGGGTGTGGTTGGGGTGTCTAGGGGTGTGGTTGAGAGTGTTTTAGGGTGTCTGGGGGTGTTTAGAGGTGTGGCTGGGGTATATAGTGTGGCTGGGGGTGTGGCTGTTACCTGAAATGTGATGTGAAAGGGTTACGAACTTAATTAATTTCTATATAATTTTATCTATGAGATGAAAGTCTTAACAAAAGTATATAGACTTTTTATTTTTGTTATTTTTTACCTATTGATCAAAATTATAAATAAATAAAATATATAAAAATTTTCTTCCTATGATGGACATGAAAGCTAGGGTAGAGCATACATGGTAACAGCAGTAGTAGTTTGACCTTTGACCTTTAGCTACAAGGTCAGCAGAATAGATCAGTGACCGAGATATGACCTGGTGTGATTTTTTTGTGGTGATTTATATTTGTGATTTATGATTGTCCAAAAATTGTTACAATAAAAGATGCAAAATAATTGGTGATTTCGGTTTAGGATGTCAAAATGTCTCTAAATCCAGGTCTTATTTGTCTCTCAGGTGGACATTTTTATCTCCAAGCAGGTGATTTAGAGATGTAATTAAGAGATATTTAATACAGGTAATTCAGTGATGCAATTGAGGTATGTTTTGAGATTTTGATATAGGTAATGAGAGAGATAATTGAGAGACTTTTAACACAGGTAGAGAGACAATTAAGAGTCTTTTAATACAGGTACTATGAGAGATAATTGAGAGACTTTTAACACAGGTAGAGAGACAATTAAGAGTCTTTTAATACAGGTACTATGAGAGATAATTGAGAGACTCTTAATACAGGTAGAGAGATAATTAAGAGTCTTTTAATACAGGTTCTATGAGAGATAATTGAGAGACTTAACACAGGTAGAGAGACAATTAAGAGTCTTTTAATACAGGTACTATGAGAGATAATTGAGAGACTTTTAACACAGGTAGAGAGACAATTAAGAGTCTTTTAATACAGGTACTATGAGAGATAATTGAGAGACTTTTAACACAGGTAGAGAGATAATTAAGAGTCTTTTAATACAGGTACTATGAGAGATAATTGAGAGACACTTAACACAGGTAGAGAGACAATTAAGAGTCTTTTAATATAGCTAATTTATAGGTGTAATTAAGAGACATTTTTTACATTTTAATACAGTTACAGAGATTTTCAACACAGGTGAAGTGAGAGACAATTAATTAAAGACTCACTCATCTCTCTACACAGGTCATGGAGTCTAAGAATATGATCTACCTTGTCTCCGAATACGCCAGCAACGGGGAGATGTTTGGTGAGTATCTCTCTTATCTCTGCCCCGCCCCCCCCCCTCCTCTCTCTCTCTCTCTCTCTCTCTCTCCACTCCTTATCTTCATTAATAGGTATTTAGACATCTTACTCCGGTAGTATTATTGTTGTTAGTATTGTGTGTGTCTGTGTCTGTGTGTCTGTGTGTGTCTGTGTGTGTGTCTGTGTGTGTGTGTGTCTGTCTGTCTGTGTGTGTGTGTGTGTGTGTGTGTGTCTGTCTGTATCTGATTCTCTCTTGTGTATTTTTCTATGGATCTATTTATGTATGTATGGTGTGTATGTATGTATGTCTCTGTCTGTCTCCCTGTGTATATGTATGTATCTGTATATTTATTTATGTCTCTCTCTCTCTCTCTCTCTCTCTCTCTCTCTCTCTCTCCTCTCTCTCTCTCTCTCTCTCTCTCTCTCTCTCTCTCTCTCTCTCTCTCTCTTAAGAATTGTGGGATTATGAGCATTTGTTTATTTGTATGGAGAGGTGAGAAGAGAAAATCCTCTCCCCAACCTGACCTCTATATAGCGCTTCACTAATTCCGGGTGCCAGAAAATAGTTTCCCCCACCTCCTATAATGGCGACCACGTGGATGGCAACACCGTTTTCTCAGATGCCAGCGAACGATAACCTTAACCACATCACTTGAAGATTAGACACCTCTACAGTACATTATTTCACCTGTTGATTAACCACCATAACGTAAACTTAACCTAACCTAACCCCTCCAGGTATTATTTAAGCGGTTAATCTTCAGGTGAAATAAGCTGGGGGTGTCTAATCTTCAGATGATGACTTTAAACCTTTCGAAATTACGCTAAATAAGCCTTTTTCGTGTATTTAATTACATAAATAGGTATTAAAGTGATCAAGTAGGATATTTACCATGAATAATTAAGGTACTTTGATTCTATGTGGATTATTATGGCGTCAAATGATAGGAATTATATATTGTTGGGTAATAATCGACCACGTGGATGGCAACAGTGACGCGTGAGATGCCGCCTGCCAGGTGTATGATAACCTGAGTGCTATAAATACGATAACTTGAGCCTTTACGATTAGACATTCTCTTATCTCTTATGATAATTATACCGTTCCTGAGGTATAATAGTTCACGTGCATGATTAAACTCAGTGCTATGTTTAGGACGCCTTGGTTTGAGTACCATGTCTTTGTAGGAGTACCATAATGTTTGAGTACCATGCCATAATTTGAGTACCATAACTGCCATAGCTCATTACCACACTCCTAGTTTCATAACGATAACTTAAGCCTTATGAGTACGAGAATTTTCCTGAGTCACTTGGTGTAAGCCCTTGAGTACGATAATTTAACCTTTTTAAATGTTAAATACTTAGCCCTCCAAGTAGAAGTATTTAACATTCAAGAACTTGTAATATTTATGAATATAAGACTAACGTTATATATATATATATATATATATATATATATATATATATATATATATATATATATATATATATATATATATATATATATATATATGTATATATATATATAATTTAATACTAAATGCCAAATGTACGATAATTTAATAATAATTAATGCCAAATGTACGATAATTTAATAATAATTAATGCCAAACGTACGACAATTTACTATATTGAGTTACTTTATATAAATTCCAGAAGTACGATAATGAAACTTTTTTAATAAGACTTACTGTAAGTCCATTATATACAAACTTTGTGTTGTTCATGAAGCTCTGGGGGTGTTATTAGTCTTGATATTGTTGTTATTATTGCTGTTATTATTAGTGTTATTGTTGTTTTTATTATTTTTTTTATTTATATGTTCATCTTATGTTTATTATGAATTCATTGACATAATATCTGAGAGTAATTCATTATTTCTTTTTATTTATTTACACACACACACACACACACACACACACACACACACACACACACACACACACCTTTGTAACATTTCTATGGTACATGAACATACAGTATTTACAGTATGCCGAATTTCAGCTCTGTCTTGAGAACTGTAGCCGTGAAGAGCGATCAACCACGCAAACAAACGAACAGACACTGCATTATATATTAGTAAAGTTATTCATTGATTATTCACTTGCTGTCGTGTATGTCAATAATTTTGCACAGAGCAGTTTTATGTTTTTATGATACTGTTTGACTGCGCTATTTTTCAAGTATTTTTGTCCAGTTGTAATTTTGCGTACTACTTCACCTCTGTAATTATGTGTACGTGAGTTTGTTGGCTCAGTTTATGTGGGTGGGGGAGGGTAGGAGGGAGGGTGTGGTGATGGTGGGAGGGTGGGGGATGGTAGGAGGGGGGTGGGGATGGTGGGGTGGGGAGGGTAGGTGGGGGGGGTGGACAAGGAACACACACACATCTGCCCAAGTGGCTGATGAGTTGCCACATTGTCAATTTCCCCCGCCTTGTTATCTCGTTTGGAAAACCCTACAGCCTGCACTAGTTTCCCATCTATTTTCGGCCACTGCATGACGCGCAAGTTACAAAATTTTAGTTTTTTATCTTCCTACGTTGCAAATACATCCTTCATGCTATTTGTGGGTGTTATCATTTACATATGAATGTAAACGCCGCGCGCGAGATATGTGACAACTGGCAACTGAGAGTGACGTCGGTGATGACGTCAGAGGCGGAGCCAAGATAGAAGCCCGCCACGCTGAGAAACTGACATTTAAATATGTATCAAGTTATTCTCCGGCGTTAAGGTGTTCGTGGCCAGCTTGTTGTGCCGATATAGACACACCCAAGACAACACAACTTGCAATATTAACAACATCACGAGTACAGGAAATTAAAGGAAGGTTCTGGAATAGATGTGGTTCTGGGGAGGCCATAGCTTGACTGTTATTGATAAGTGAAGCAGTTCTCCGGTCCACACATAGTTGTAAACACTGTGTGGTCCATGGAAATTATGATGAGCCTCTGTAACTCATTACTAGAGGCAGTAATGTAATATTTCTTGTTTAGAGGAAGTCGTGAATTATAGCTGGTTATGGGAGGTGTAATTATGGTTGTGTTAGTTTTATAAAAACAAAAGTAAAACTATTATTATTATTATTATTATTATTATCTTCATCATCATCATCATCATCATAATACACACTTTCGAAAACTACAAATATATTTTCAGTCAATACATTTTACAAATTATAGAGATAAATAACTACTTCTTGGTCGATAATTTCTAAGTTAGATTATATTACACTCGAGTTATAGGTAGTTACAAGTGATCGCGGACACCTTCGTGCCCAGTGAAAGTTTGAGCGCTGGTGCTTGGCTAGCGTACAGCGAATGAGGGTGCGCCAAGTCCGTAGACTTGCATGGTTTGTTCCACTCCACGATTTTTCCACCAAGTTTGATGAAAAACGATTGTGCCGTTTCGGCTGCCCAGAACACACACACGCCTTGTCCTGTAGTACAGTACAGTATATTAGATTCAAGAAAAAATCTAACTATTAGGAAAATGTCTTGAAATTAACTATTTTTGACAATTAGGACACAAATAATCATACACACACATAAACGTGTAGATAATCATTTACGCACACAGTTGACAGATATAGACAAATATTACAGATAAAACTCAGTTCTGTGTGTGTGTGTGTGTGTGCGCGCGTATTTCCGAGTGTTTATAAATAGCCTTCAAAGTCACTCTTAGCCACATAATACACATATGGTTTCAGATCTCTAAAAAGAAACTCACATATATGGCTTCACACCGCCCACACATGGACAGGTTTTGAACACTGCCGCCCGTTCGAATTCCCACTTCCCCCTTCCCCCCCTCCCCCCGTCCCACAAACACAACTAAGGTTTCGTAAACTATTATTATTATTATTATTATTATTATTATTATTATTATTATTTGGACGGTATATATGGTGTGTATATTTGGGACGGTATGCATGTTTTGCCCTGTCTGTTCAACCAGGACATGAAGCCACTTGCACACACCTGTCTAATTATATAAATATTCACCCTACCCTCATACCCACTCCCCTCTTACCCCCTACCCCTACCCACATCCGTCTAATCTTAGCTGGGTATTTCTGAACCCACAGTGACGGGGTGGCGACGCGTTCCTGATACACCCGCTGTTTTTCCACCCATCTACACCCACCTGGAACTATATATAGAACTCACCTACACCCACCTATACTGTGACTCACCTACACCCACCTATACTGTGACTCACCTACACCCACCTATACTGTGACTCACCTACACCCACCTATACTGTGACTCACCTACACCCACCTATACTGTGACTCACCTACACCCACCTATACTGTGACTCACCTACACCCACCTATACTGTGACTCACCTACACCCACCTATACTGTGACTCACCTACACCCACCTATACTGTGACTCACCCACCCCACCTAAGCTCACCCCACCTGTGACCCCTACACACCTATACTGCTGGCTCACCTACACCCACCAAAGCTAGCTCACCTACACCCCTGCTACTGCCCAGCTCACCTACACCCACCTGCAGCTCACCTACACCCCACCTATACTGTGACCCCACCTACACACCTATGCCTGTGACTCACCTACACCCACCTAGCTGTGACTCACCTACACCCACCTATACTGTGACTCACCTACACCCACCTATACTGTGACTCCTACACCCACCTATGCTCACCTACACCCCCTATACTGTGACTCACACACACCTACACCCCACCTATACTGTGAGCTCACCACCACCTATGCACAGCAGCTCACCTACACCCCACCTGCTGTGACTCACCTACACCCCACCTATACTGTAACTCACACCACTCCTAAGCTATGGCAGCTCACCTACCCCCACCTAGCTGTGACTCCACCTACACCCACCCCTAAGCTGTGACTCACCTACACCCTCCTAAGCTTGCTGACTCCCTACACCCCACCTAAGCTGCTTGACTCACACCTACACCCCTGGCTGCTGAACTCACCTACACCACCTAGCTGTGAC